CAGTCCAGCAACCAAAGACTGGGACTGTTAGACTCACTGAAGACAGAAGTGGCACGTCCTCCAAACTGGTATCTTTTGGTAAAATTTCAGGAGGCAGGAAGTGGAGCAGAATGCGCCAGTGTGGTTTTTCCTCTGGTAAACGGTCGCTCCATCCATGAGGGCCTGTTTGCAGGTGGAGCACGATGCAGGGACATCCGTGTTGGTGAGCGAGGGCTCTGCAGGTTTGGATTCATCGGTCAAGGAGAAAACCGACCCAATCTTTAAGTCCTCCTGTAAAAACCAGAACAGGAGACGATGCGCGGGTGGAGTGCTGTTTAAATGATGCCCTGGATATTTAGATGATTTAATGTGCTGTCTATGTTTTTCTAGTTACAATAAATGACATCATTGTGTCCAGTAATATCTAACTGAAATAATAAAGAAGTTACTGTATAATGTAAAGGGGAAAATGATTGAGTATCTTACCTTTACTACATTTGGCTCCTTCTTGATGTCCTGATGAGAAACTGAGGCTGTGAGACTCTGGCTGTACCCCTCATCGATGGGCTCTGTTTTGATCTTGATAAAGAGGCAAGAGAGATTTGGATTAACTGTGTAAGGTTAATAGCAAAGGCCTACATGTGGAGCACTGTGAGGACTCTAACGTAAGTGGTAATGTACTGGAAAGAGATTTAATAAACAGAATTTATTGTAATTATGAATTGCTGTTATGATTCAATTGTTAATAACATTTATTCTGTCACTGAATCCAAACTGGGTTTAAGATATTCATACACTACGGCTACTAAAGAAGAAGACATTTTTTACATAAAACTTACACTGTTGAGATGTATTACAGATGGCTTCACATCTTTAACCTCACAAACTTCAGATGAAGAGCTTTTCTTTTCTGTAAAGACAAAAGCATGAACAAGATTTCTGCATTTGACAACTAAAAGCTTAAAAACTGCTGTCCAACTGCAAAATTCAGCGCAGCACAATAGAGCACGCTTTCTCTGCAGTTTGAAATATGACTGGAGATACCCGTCACAGTGAAGGTCTGGGCCTCGTACACCATCATACACCTGTTGCTGCAGAAGAACTCCAGCCTGCCTTCATCATTTTTATTTTCAATCATGTCTGACAGCTGATGGGACGTCTGGCACATGGGGCAGAGCTGACGAGTGCCAACTTTCTGCAAAGATAACGAAAAATGTGAGATGAAGAACACCATTACCTTAGACATATGTTGTAAAGTATTATGCCTACTCCACATTTATGAAGGTGAGACTCATAATGGTTTTTAAAACTGTGAACTGAGTGTCTTAAACAGAAGTTATAACATTTTGCTGTTTGCATTTAAGCTGCACATGTTTTG